TATTTTGAAATATACAATAAATTACTGTTAACTATTGTCATCCTACTGTGCTATCAAATGCTAGAACTTATTTCCTCTATCTTACTGTATTTTTGTACCCATTAACCAGCCTCTCTTTATCCCCCCATCCCCACTACCCTTCCAGCCTCTGGTAAATATCTATTCTCTGCCTCCATGAGATCAACTTTTTTTAGCTCCCACATATGAGGATATATGATAGTTGTCTTTTTGTGTTTGGTTTATTCCATTTAACATAGTGACCTGTTCCATCCATGCTACGACTGACAGAATTTCATTTTTTATGGCTGAGTAATATTCCACTCTGTGTATGTACCACATTATCTTTACTGATTCGTTCACTGATAGACCCTTAGGTTACTTCTATGTCTTGTAAATAGTACTGCAATAAACATTAGTATGTAGTTATACTGATTTCCTTTCTTTTGGATATATACTGAGCTGTGGAATTGCTGGATCATATGGTAGATCTCTTTTTACTTTTTTTTTTTTTTAACACTCTCTGTACTGTTTTTCATAGTAGTTGTATTAATTTACATTCCCACCAACAGTGTACTAGCATTCCTCTTTTTCCACATTCAGGGTATTTTTATAGCACTTTTTACCTCCACATATTTTATTTTGTTTTTCATTATTTTATTATAAGACAATAATATTTTAAATCAAACTAAAAAGGATTAAATATGTACTCTTTCTAGAAATTGACCATAAAAGACTTGCATAAAGTATTTAACAATATTTTCTAAAGTTTGGCATTGGTTTCCCAATATATTTACCATTAAGAGACAAAACAGAAATGTTGTTTTTATAACACCTGTGTGTGGTTGAGGCATGTTACTTTACTTTTCCTAGTGTCAACTGTAGCATCAGAACATTTTAGTAATTTATGCTATGACTCTTCATTTGGAGGCAGGTTCATCAACAGTAGAATTATACCCATTTAATTTCAATGTCCTAAAAGCTTCCCACTGATATTTTAAAAGATATAAATTTAATTTCCTTGCCCATCCTCCCACAGCTTACTCTGCCAACCATTTATAGTAAACCTAACTGCAGACTTTGCTAGTTTGGGTACAACATTTACTTCACTCAGTATCCATTAATTTTTATTTCTGACAGAATAAGCATATGGTCCTAATGCTCTATGAAATCAGACTCTTGGAGCCAGATCCTGTTATAAATTTCATTGCTTGTTACCTTTATGTGATGTTACATAATATACATCACTTAGCCTGCATAAAAAGTTACATAGATAGAACAGATATGTTTTGACTTTTAAGTTTTATTTTCTTTCTTTTTTTATAAACATGGAATTCAAATAGTCATATAGATAATTTATGACTTTTCATATATACTCATATGTGTTATTGGCTACAATGGTTTTATTCATATTTAATGTTTTTAATTAAGACAAAGATGAATGAATAAATATTTATCCCAATTATTATCTAGTGCAGGGGCCGACAAAGGGAGGCCCGTGTCTCTACAGTCTATCACCTGTTTTTGTATGGCCCACTATTTAAGAATGGTCTTTACATTTTTAAATGTTTGAAAAAAATATTATTATTTTGTAACATGTGGAAATCTTATGAAATTCAGATTTTAGTATCCATAAGTAAAATTTTATTGGCATGTAGGCACACCCATTCACTTCCATGTGGTCTATGACTACTTTCATGCTACAGCAGCGAAGTCAAAGAGTTGCAAGGAAAACCATTTAGCCTAAAATATTTACTATCTGTCTCTTTAAAGAAAAAGTTTGCTAACTCCTGGTCTAGTGCATAACGTATACTTTTTCTTCTATTTTGAATATCAAGGAGTTTATGGAATCAAACTGATACCAAAATCAATCAGTCCTTTACCCTAAAAATAATACAGAGAATATTTTTTTCATATTTACTGTTAAAGTCCACTTGTACATTGCCTGAAGAAAGTTAAATCTGTGCTATTATTTAGATTGAGAAAGAAGTTTCCCCGAAGAACAAGAGTTCAGAGACTCAAATAAATTCTCTTTCCTCCATTTTTCATTATCTGTTTAATTTGTTTTAATGAAGTTAATTGCACAGTAGGAATAACCGATCTAGAAATAAGAAAAAACACCTTTAGTTCAAAATTTAATCACTTTCTTGTTTTCTAGACTGACATCAAACAAATAATTATTTGAAGTAATTGTGAAAGGCAGGGCCCTCTATGATGGGCCCTTTTGATCTCTAATGTGCCTACATTTTTATTAGAATTTGAGGATCATTAAACTGGAAGATTACACCTAAACACAAATTTTCTTTGAAATAAATTATTCTGCTCTTTCATTTTCTTTCTTTCATATTTCATATAAGAAACACTTGAAGTAGGTGAGCTTTTAGAATGTCACGTAAAGTGTGAACAAATTCCAGAGAAGACAACAAAGAAAAATGATCTGTAAAGTTCTGTGTTTCTATAGCATTTTGCTTTATTCCAGATGCAAGATTGGGGTTCTGTATTTATGCTTAATCCTTTTAAACAATTATAAAAAGTTATGGGCATTTCAGATTACAGTTCAAAATATATAATGAAAGTAATATAATTTGTCTCAAATAATTTGTGGAACATTATGAGGAATTTGTTCATTAACTCCTCAAATATTTATTGTCTAGCATGTACCAGGCACTGTTCCTGGCACTTGGGACACATCAGTGGTTGAAACAGAGCCAAACACTATCCTTGCCCACGTGCAGCTGGCATTATAGTGGGAGCAAACACACAAGAAGCAACGCATATTATAAATGAGTAAATGGTATAGCATTTCAACAAATGATAAATGAAATGGGAAGAAAAGAACAAGGTGAGAAATCAAGACTATTAGGGTGGGAATTACAATATTAAATAGGATAGTCAGTGAAAGCCTGGTTGAGAAGATGATGCATATGCAAAAACTTAAAGATATAAAAATTAGCCATGTAGCTGCCTGAGGAAAAGCATTTCAAAGCCCAGTGAGAGTAAAGGCCCTGAGTTGAGAGCAAGCCCAGCTGTGTGTGAAACAGCAAGGCGGCATCGTGGCCAGAGCAAGGTAAAGGAGCGGAAGAGGAATGAGAAATGAGTCAGAGGGGTAATGAGGACAAATCATATAGAGCCTTCTAACCACCGTGAGGATATTTCACTCTTAGTGATACAGGAACCTTGGCGGGACTTCTTGCAGGGGAGTGCCGTCATTAAGTTTGTTTGTCCAAAGGTCCACTTGGCTGCTTTCTTGTGTGTGTATCAAGGGAAGAAGCAGCGAGAATACTATTGAGGATACTGTAGTAATCCAGCTAGAGAGGATGGTGGCTTGGGCCAGGACCAGTGATAGCAACAATGAGAACAGGTGGATTTTGGACTTATTTAATAATAATGTGTGGGATTTCCTGACAGATTAGATGTGGGAATGGAAGAGAAAGAAAAGGAGTATTTTGATTCTCAGTTTTTTTTGTTTTTGGTTTTTTTTTGCCTGGGCAACTTCCATCAGTCAAGAATGGAGAAGTCTGCAGACAGGTTTTTGGGGGATGATTAGAAACTCAGCTTGGGATATCCTGAGTTTAAGATATTTATTATTA